TGACTTTTAAAGACCCCATTATTCACAAAAGTTTGGAATAAATGGGTATTCCTTGACTAGTCTCTCATGATAGTGTGGTAGATAACTTCCAATTTTGTACAGTATTTTATGGTACTGCTGTTGTCATAGTGACTTTTGATTCAACAATAATTGCAGTTGTGATTAATAGTCTAGCATTGCAGGTGTGATTAATAGACTAGCATTGTATTCTTTTGTTTGTTTGTTGTTTAATGCCACATTCAGCAACATGGCGGCGGTCTGTAAATAATAAAGTTAGGACCAGACAATCCAGTGATCAACATCATAAGCATCAATTTACGCAATTTGGATACAAAGACAAGTGTCAAACGAGTCAACGATCCTGTTGCTTGTTTAGCAACGCACTCAGCAATATTCCAGCTATATGGTGGCGGTCTGTTAATAATCAAGTCTGGACCAGACAAACCAGTGAGCAACATCATGAGCATCAATTTACACAATTGTGTCAACCAAGTCAGCAATCCTGTTAGTTGCCTCTTACGACAAGCATGGGTTGCCGAAGACCTTGTGTATATGTGTAAACCTGGTCTCGTTGCTATATCGCTGAGACAATGCTGATGAGACGTTAAATTTTAACTCACTCACTACTGAAGTCCAATTCTAACCTGGATCTTCCTGGGTTGTATTCCATAGTACTAGGAATATAGTGTCACATTGACTTTAAGATACTGTACACTGTACATAATATTCAGGGCAGTCTTGTGTCACATGCTTACAATAATGGGACCATAACTTTACATCCCGAGCATGATGAAATACTCTAAGATTAAATATTCATTTATCCAAACATATACATGTAGTCTCATGTTGTATTTGTCATTACACTGGTTTGTTATCCTGATTCAGTTTGCTGGTTAAGATATTTTACATGACAATACAAACAACATATTCAAGCTGCATGATGTCACCACACAGAATATAATTGCCATAACTATCAATAACGAAACTTAATCAACTGCCCATTTCATTGTACTTTCCAAACTGCCAATTTCAGGAAATTAAATATGGATATTTTTTCTTAAATTCAATATCAACCATAAATGAAAACATATTGTGATGTATATGAGAAATATTCAATAGATGAACAACATGCTCTTGCATGAGACAAATATTTCCTGCATGTCAATATCGGCAGATAGGCACTAACTTCCTGGTGCAACACATTGTGTCAGAAAAGTTGTGCAGAATTTCAAACTTGAACAATATAAAATTTAACAACATTTAAATAATAAATGCTAAGTTAAGAAATTTGTTAATGATCGCAAACCAATTTCATCACCAAGGTCATGACACAAGTTTGCATCATCCTATGAGGTTAACAAAAACAGGATTTAAGACTTGAATTTTCCTTCACTGACACAAAAATCACAAAACTCTCACCAAGTTGCTCCATCTGACAGGTTGCCATTTCGAAATGTTCTTTGGTAACACAAAAAAACCTGCCGAAATCTACGACATTCTCGTCTTTGACTTAGCCCTCCGCCATATTGAGAACTGTTCTATATCTGCCTCTGATGACTCAAAATAGCTTCTTCCGCAGTGCCAGTTTCTCTCTACACCACACTGTACCAGGGATGGTTGGCGTATGTTGGACGTGGGAAGGGGATGTGCAGAGAGGGGAGGTTAGGGGAGGAGAACAGGAGAAACAGACATTGGCTTAAAAGATAATCTCAACAGCCATGCTGGTCTGTTTTATTACAATGCTCACTAAATCACATCGACTTTACAAACGTCAACATGATACTATTGTTGAATAGTCTTGATTGCTTTATCAAAGTTTCACAACATCTGTCCGGACTTCAATATACCAGTGCTTGAACTTGCATAAGTCTCTAAGGTAATAAATAACAGCTTAAATGAAAATTTCAAAAAGAATATGAATAAAAGGAGCACATTTTCCTTCTAACAGACTTGCGTCCTTGAACTGTCCGCTAATCTATACTTGCCTCTTTAAAGGATAGAATTACTATACATCCATTGGCTTAGCATTCAGTACAGCCTTGGAGCAAGGCTAATCAGTGATGTAAATGTGTACTTAATGCATCTGGTCGCTGTGACATTCCAACCAGGAACTGACTAAATCCCCACGCCACTGTCTATAATTTACACCAGGAACTGAGTAATCCCCATTGTTTATATTTCATCAGTGTGTGCTGATACGAATGTTGACAGATAGTTTACTGCTCACAAATACCTACTTTCTCTATGTTTACTTCAACCAATGACACTGAATATGCTGCTCATGCAAAGTGTGTGATAGAACCAGCATCCTTGTATTCAGTCTAACAACATACGCACCCTAAATCAACATGCCCAATACATACCCAATCAACACAATGAAACCCAAGTTTATAATAGTTGACAAGTCTCAGAATACTGTTTCTGAAAACTGTCTCCTTTTATTATATTTTATGACAATAATGTTTTTTTATGAGTAATAAAGAAAGCTTCCATGAAGTAGATCCACAGAATGTGGTTTGGAATGCTGTTGGACACAAGAGTTAATGTGCATTCTCCTCTGTCTGTCTGACATGCCCAGATACTGAGACACACTCTCTCTCTCACACACATAGACGCAGACACACACACACAGACACACACACGCATGCACGCAGAGGCTAGTGGAAAGTTTTAGTATAAGATATGTTTGGAATCTCAACAATTATGTCAATGGCCAAAGTTTATCACTCAAAAATACCCCACATCAGACAACCCACACCTGACACCTGGAAGACCATGGGTGTACACAGTGTAAGACTAGGCCCACATTTCTGTGTTGCCACAGGTGCCATCAATATCCTGCTACCCCCACCGACGACTGATGCAGACTGACTGTACTGAAAGAACGCAACCCAGACAACTGATTGTAGTACACAGATATGATAGACTTAGTCTCTGAAAATATGTAATTGTGAAAAGCACCCCCATGAGATTTCAGATTGAACCAGCAGAAAATCTAGACTTGCTTCATTTAGAGCTGTAACAATTAAGTAAGGGCCGGGTGAAAGCTTAAATAGTAAGACTAAACTTATGATTCAAAAGTAATTGTTGTTAATTGTTTTGAAAATGTGTCGTCTAGAGACTAACAGGTATTGGTGTAGAGACAGTGACTTTTACAACTCCAGGAGACCCTTGCCTATATTTTGAGGGATACCGGTAATTTAGCTACCACCTCCAAAAATCAAAGGACTGTTGGCATTGTGAAAACTGATGTAAAAATGATTAAAAATGTTTGTATGCACTGCAAAAACACAACTCATTTTAAGTTTCTGTTTGAAACCCTTTCTTTTCTCCAGAATGTTAATATATATATATGCTCATTCATTCCCTGAAAACTCACAAACAGCAGCAAAAAATATAAAATGATCATTTAACCTTCACACAATATATAAATATAAAATATTTCAACAGAAAAATTGACATAAATTTTATTTATATAACTATCCTTTGAAACCATATCAAATTTCAAAGTTATTCAAAGCTCTTAGTATGAATATCACTATATGTAACACATTCGTTTGTCAATGTCATAGCATGAAAACAGACACAGAGAGACAGGTTGTATATTTACATCTCTCGTTATGATAACATGCATGAAATAATACACAGATTAAAATATTGAGCATAAAATTCCAATCAGCCACCCTTAAAGGATTAAGGGACAGAGGTGTAGCCTGGAATATTGCTAAAAGCAGCATAAATCCAAACTCAATCACTTATACATGTTCCTGTAAATGGTCAGTTAAACTTAGTCGCTAATTATAATAACCTATTAACTAGTAATTGTAGATAGACCCTTGTAAATTGCTCTAATTACATTCAAGAAGCACTTGCTTGTAGAAATAATGGTATATCATTAGCCATAAAATGGAATTAAATTGTAAAGTTTCTCCTATTCTACAAAAACATACTCATTTTGTATGTATTGTACATGGGCCGATAGCCTACAAACCAAAATAAAAGAACTGAATTGAGTCACTTAAAGGATTATGCAAAACTAATATACATACAAAATTATGAAACTCATGAAAGAAATATATATACAACTCATGAAAGAAAGAAATAATAACTATATCATATTTCTGAAAGAATGGCTTGGCATTAAAATCTCAGGTTGAAATATATAATATATCATCTATGTTTGAGAACACAATGGCGGGACTTGATGTATATGTTTTAATCAAACTCGGGCAATGAACCTTGTCCAATCCTGTCAGTACGCTGCTTCATATGACCTGACAGTGTTACAATTGTCCCATAGCTTATGGCAATGTTCCACAAAATCCACGCTGACAGTGACAAGTTGATGCCCTCCTTACACTTGCTGGTCCCACATATGCATAAAACATTTCACGCAAATGGGTGGTAACAGTTTGAATGTCCTTCAACAACCTTGACAAGTTTTTATAAAATAAGTTCAGAATTTGCAGTCAATACTGCCACCCTTTGATTTTTAGGTTTAATTTCATAAACAGGTATAGAATAACTGAACCTTATCCTAATACACTGTTACCATGGTAACCTAATCAAGATAAATATCATACAATGTAACATTTGTTAACAATACACAGTAATGGCTTTAGCAACAAGTGGGTAACCTAGACAATTGAAAATAAATGAAAAATGAATCCAGCTCAAGTCTAGAATTATTTTGCAAGTCTTGATGGCCCCATCTCTCAAATTTAGCTCTGGGCTTCATGTTAAATATTTACAGGTGCATGTCTTTAAATAGGACTTTAAAAAAAAATGTATTTCTGGGATTAAGTGTCGGTCAAATGGGCTACAAGTGTGGCTGAAAGTTCAGTTCCAGATTAGCTAGCTACTCCTTGCTGAATTTCTAATGTGTATCAAGCTATTTTCAAATAAACAAGCTCAGACGGAGTGAATATTGTTAAACACCAAAGTCAGCAATATTTAACCTACATCATGGTTACATGTAAATTATTGAGTCATCGAGATCTCCTAAGCCACACAAAGGTACAAAGACGTGAAGTCACAGAGCAAGACAACCCGCTCTTTCAGTCAGTCAAAGCCAACTACAAGCATGAACCACTGGGGACCCTATCCTCGCCCTAAATCCCCAGGGATTAAACCCAAGCAGGTAAACATGTTTTTCACTTTTGTTATGGCTTTTTGTGGCTTAGTATTAGTACTTTCAGTTAAGAGCTTGAGACTTGGGATCTGCCTTGAATCAAAGACCGGAAATAGGGTCTCATCCTTGGCTACCCTGAGTTGTGCTTATAACAAGGTGCTCTTGGGCACAACTGCCAGAATGATGTACTTATCTGGCACATCGCTCCTTATGACCGTGCACTGCAATTTGTTACTGTCTCTCAAGCCATTTGAATTATGGAATGCATCACAAGTGCTTTGCAAATAATGACATGGTATAGATATCATGATTCTGATACACATCACATGATGAAATAACAAAGTCTTCAACTTTTTAATTGGTAATAGAAGAAGCATAACATGAGACAAAGCAAGAAAGAGAACAAATCAAACACACAAAATGACATTTACAGCTGACATTTAACTAGCAGAATTATTCCTGACAACTATAGCCCGCGAAGAATCACACACACATAAAACTAAAGCTGATCATGATGAGAGAGGCTGATTAATTATCTCTACACAATATTGAAAATTAAATTAATTGAAATTAATAAATACCAATTCAATTCATCAAATTATTGTGATAAAACAACATTTGTCCTCATAGCAGGCACAGTTTCAGCTCGATCGTTTGTATGGCCCTTCAAGCTTTGATCTGCAAACTGGCCATCTACTGACCCATAAACTCAGGTTAATATGAAGGTTATCTACATGACTGACCTGTAAGACTGTGATACCTCTACATAAAAACCCTTGCCAGCCCTCTCCTTGCTCTAGTTACCCTGTTAACACCTCAAGGAGCTTGTTATCCTCTTTTATCACAGGTCATTCACTGTGTAGCTGTGTTGGGTTTGTTTGTGTCAAAACCTTAAAACCTCAATACCAGGCCTTGTGCCATCAAGGGGTCAATAACTCTTCTGCTGTAAACATATCTTACGACAGCCTTAGCACAAAGTTGTTTTGAGGTATGGACCCCAGGGTTGATGACCACTGACTTGCAATATTCATAAAAATTATATTCAAACTGGTTTCAGTATTATGAAAATACATTGTTTAACATCATACTCAGCTGTATGGCAGCCAGTAAATAATCAAATCAGGTCCATGCAATCTAGTAATCTATCTTGTAAGCAACCAAGAAACATCTGTCTATCCAAAATATTTATTAGCTTCTTACATTAGCACCAGTCCTAACCATGAATCCCCACATGATAACATATTACACAAAATTTACAAAGAATGATTTTAGAAAGTGCCCTTGAAAGGCAAGCTGTGACAAAAGTTCTGAGGTATTTTAACACTGCAATAATGTTCAAATAAGCATCAAACCCTCTTCCAGAGTCATTGTTATCAGTGACCTAAAGTGACTTCACAAAGCCATAACATTAGATTTTAATTGCAAATAAGTATTTTAACAGACATTTGCTGATAAATCCCCGATCACAGCACAATACAGAAACTGACAAAACAAAACCCACCTGAAATGCCACAACTAGACACCCCCAAAATAGTGGCATTAGAACAGCACAACAAACCAAAGGAAGGGAATAGCACCAAGGCTATCAATCCCAGGACAGTCGTCATGTTCATAGATAAGATTGCATTGTGCCTCCTTTGGTATTACTCTATTGCAGAATGCATATTTGATGGACTATTACAAAGTACTTTCAGAATGCTTAGTCATAACATATTAAATTAGAAAAATATACAGTTAATATCATTTAAAAGAACTAAAATTCAATCTCTGCAAAAGAATTGATGCTATTACTTCCACTTACAAATTAACAATGTCACAAGAACAACCCACATCTAATCCACCATGTACATAAATCATACAAACAACTTTATGGAGGGGTCTTTGTGTACATTATATACATTCCCTCTGGCTACTGTCCAGAATCTATTAAAAGCCAGCTGACCTGGTACTTCAAGTGACCACAAGTTCACACTAAGCGAGTCACCTTTGTAAGCCAGGATATAAAATGTGAGTAGTAGGGGGTACTGATCCTTACCTGTTAAGGTATCTACCAAGTTATCAGCCATCTCCATGAGTCAGTGGTCATCCTTGGACAGACCAACTGTCCGTCGCTGATCAGTCTAAATTTTGATGTAGCACTTTTAAGGGCTGATTATTCACTGAGTTGCCACATGTTAACTTGTTGTGTCCTGACTGACACTAGCTTGTCAGATTATATATTTGACAGAGCCCTCCTCAAATATTGAAATCAAATTTCTAAATAATCTCTGGAACCCAGTTTCAAGAAAGGCTAATATCACCCCATTCCATGTCCAGTTCATTGAGGCTGAGAATGATTGCCCGAAATTATGCCTTATTCAAGAACCATGAACTAGACTTCATTAACTCATTATTTCCACTGGAGTAGAATGTGCTACAGATGTCAAAATCATGCACCACTTACAGCAGTCCAAATATATCCAATATCGACAGAATCATTGATACATTGTCACGCACAAACAGCACACAATTCCTCCATAGTAGAGCTGTCATTCAGCATATTGCAAGCTTGCAAAGATCAACTGAGTCCATGACAAGCAAACATTCCAGGAACTGTTGGGCAGAACTTATTCAAACTTGAACCCAAAGCCACAAATTTCGTAAGCAAACCATGGGCTTACAGTTAATCTGTTAAGAAATCTGCTAAAACATCACAGTCTGAAATAATCCGTCATCTCTGTTATGTCAGCTGAGGACGAAATGTACGCATGACTGACACCTTGCTGTCTCCTGCTACGATCTTTGCCAGACAGGCAGCAGGCCATGATCAAGGACAATATATTGCTGTCAATTGCCTGGTTGGTATATTCATAAAGGCTGCGGTGGGGAAATGAAGGTACAAGGCACTTGCTACCTGTCGCATGATTGATTGCAATGTACATAAGCTATTAGCTGCTTGCAATGTACGTAGGTAAATGGATCAGTGCCATTGTTTCCAAACAGGGTACTGGGAAATACATGCACATGTATAATTATAGTCATTTCGTATCAAAACAGTGCAAACCCAAATCAAAATACTAAAATAGTTACTCTGTTTATTATAACAATTATGCAAATTTTCATGAATATTTTCATAATCTGACAAAATATCATTCTTGGAGTGCCATGTTGACATTATTAGCGAATAACATGGTGCTGTGAGTATGTATTAGTGGATACTATGCCGCATTACAAATGTCCATTATTATTATAATTATCAATGTTATTGTAATTATATAACATTGTTTAAGCCTGCTTTTGTAATCTTGTAACCATGCCTAATATGTCACATATGTCATCACAAACATTTGCACCAAATATACAGGTAAGAGATCATAATGATTATGTGTTGTAGAATACTTTCTAATGATCTCAACAAAACTCTATTACACCAAACCAAAATGGTTATCATCTATAGATGTCAGCCACTATATAGCTGGAATATTGCTGAGTCCGGCGTAAAATTTAACTCACTCACTCACCCAGTCTATAGATGTACATTTACATACTATCGCAAGTTTATAGGTCAATAACAACCAAAGTTTTCTAAATTCTAAAATTATCTAAACCGTCACCTCATAATCACTTGACATTAAGGAAAGCTAGTCGTTCTGCATTTATCAGCTGACTATTGTTAGCTCTGTTAACGTTAGCTCTTATCACACTTCAATTTCTGTAGCGCAAATAACACAAGTGAAACGAGCCTGCCAAAGTCATCATAAGATTGACATATCACCACTGCAGCACAAAACATCAAATAAAACAAAAAATATTTACACCAAATAAAAAATTCCATGTTTATTTTTTAAAACAAATATCAACATTTCAAAAACACCAATTTAAAACAGAGCTAGAAATAAAATCCACTTTAAAAATGTTTTCTCTTCGACACTCAAAATAATTGTTAATTCCATCAAAGGTTGTTGACTGGTTTAGGAAAGCTGTTTCACATGATACACAACCTCACGTGATTGTCACGTTCGCATCAATTTCATTCCACACATAGGACAGGCGACAAGTCATTCACCCGTTGATAACATTAAACAAACTGAGCTAGAGGAATGAGAAGAAATGCAGGAATGTAGCCTCACTGCTAATTCAACACCCACCACTGTGGTCGTTGCTGTCAGCGTCGCTGATCTCCCCTCTTGTTACCATGCAGCCTCGTAATGTCGTGTCATCAAAGTACCAAGATAAGATACTGCATAACTCTGCACGTGTACAGAAACACGAGGTTTGTGTGTCTGTAAGTTTTCAACATATAAACAGTATTCTGGGGCATTTCTGAACATGACAGAAGAAAGTATTATTTATTTTGGTGAACATTTTCCACTTTGGTGGTACCCACCGCCACTGGTCAGTCATGGGTATGGTGCTAACAAACCATGGCAAATCTCGGATTCAAACCTAAGATCACCCCTGCACAGCACATTACAGCGCCTTAGAGAATTGGGCTTCCTACATCCCCTTGCTTGACTACCTGGTACTTAATCTTATTATCTTCTAAAAATGATTTTTCCAGTAAACAATGCCTAAACATCACAAAATACCAAAAAATAAAAATAAAATAAAACAAGGGATTCATGTCTAAATATTTAAATAAACATACTAGCAGGAGAGAATCAACTAATCAATTCATCTGTTTATATAGACTGTCAATTGTTCTGGGTCTTGTGTCCGAAGGTGAATGATGGTGTAGCGGACTCTTTCACTGTTGACTGATTATTCAAGCAGTTTGAAGAAATAAGTAACAATTACTGAAATCAACATCTCAGTACCTGCACCTATCCAACATTTCAAAACCACACCCCAAAACATCCCTGTTCATCATATATTCCAGGGGGGCGGTGGGGTAGCCTAGTGGTTAATGCATTGGCTCGTCACGCCGAAGACCCGGGTTCGAATCCCCACATGGGTACAATGTGTGAAGCCCATTTCTGGTGTCCCCCGCCGTGATGTTGCTGGAATATTGCTAAAAGCGGCGTAAAACC